CGGCACCCCGGGAGCAGCGTTTGCTCGCGCGGAGGCTTTGAAATGCAGCCCCCCCCAGCCATTTGGCCGGAGTTTGGCCCAGGCCCATATGGAGGGGGTGGCAGCGGGGAGGGGGCCTCAGGGGGAGGGCGGCAGCTGTCCCTGTCCCTGTCACCAGCCCGTGCTGCTCCCCAGTGCATGGCCCTGTGCCCCGCTCCCGCTGCTCCTCTGCACACACGTGTCCGCATGGAGCAGCGCATCCAGCACCGCACACGCTGCTCTGTGCATCGCTGCGGGTGCCCGTGCACCCGACCTGCATGTCTGTGCCCGCGTGCCCAGGCTGCTTCTGCATGTGGAGTGAGCCCTGGTGCATGCACGTACACATGGGGTGAGCATTGGTGCATACACATGCAATGCAGGGTGAGCGCCGGTGCATGCACATGCACACAGCTTGAATGTCGGTGCACGCACGTGCAAGTGGGGTGAGAGCTGCTGCACGCATGTGCACACAAGGTGAATGTTGGTGCACACACATGCGTATTGGATAAGAGCTGCTGCACACACATGCACACGGGTGAACATCAGTGCACACGCACACAGAGTAAATGCTGCTGCACACACATGCATGTGAGGTGAATGTTGGTGCATGTACATGCATATGAGTTGAGAAGTGCTGCACGCATGTGCATGCAGAGTGAGAGCCACTGCATACACATGCAATGTGGGGTGAGCATCAGTGCACACACATGCATGCAGGGTGAACACTGCTGCATGCACGTGCACACAGGGTGAGCGCCGCTGCGTGCCGCGTGCACCTGCGGCCGCTCGGCTCGCGCTCGTAATGAAGAGATCATTTGCCAATAGCCCCCGGCTGGGGATCCCCGTGCTGCCGGGAGCGCGGCCGGGCCAGTGCGCACGGGGTAATCGCATCAGCCGTCACTCCACACGTCCCCTGGGTGCCCCAGTGCACCGGCGCTTATTGCCAATAAGGGCCCGGCCTCCTGCCGGCACCGGGGTGCCGGGCGCTCGGGGCTGCGAGCAGCTCCCCTGCTAATGCCCCGCTCGCCTGCGCTACTGACAGTTTAATTTTGCACCGAGCTATTCCCTTATTAAAGGAAAATTCATTTGCAAGCAATTTCCATGTGCAAACCGCTCTGCATGTCTATCGGCGGTGGGGCTGCGCGCGCCCCTAATTGCATTACTGCCAGGCGCTTCGTCACGGAGCGCCGTTATTGAAATGGATTCGCTAAATAATAGATCAGGGGCAGCGCACAGCGCCTTGGCAGAAGCAAATTAAAGGGCCGAGCTGCTGCCTGCCGCCCCTAATCGCGTTACCGCGTCATGGGGAACCAGCGGCACCGTGCGGAGACGCCCCCGACACGGGCGGCCCTGAGGGTTGTGTCACACACGTCCCCAGCCGGGACAGGCTGCGCTGGGCCTGTGAGCAGGTCCTGGGGGGCAGGGGATGCCCAGTGCTCAGGGGGGCCAGGGCAGCCCCATGGTGCTCATGTGGACACCCCGATGCACCACGCAGGCTCTGCTGGGACCCGCTGCTGCATGTGGTGCCCAGACCACGGCATGGTGCCCAGGCCCTCCCCACAGGGCTCGGTCGCTGCCCGCAGTGCCTGGCCGCTGCACGTGCTCCCATCCCGGAGAAGCTGCAATGGACGGGCTGGGCGACGGCCGCGCAGCGCCCAGCTGCGGCAGCGGCGCCGTCGGACCCGCGGGCGCCCCGCCAGGCAGGGCGCGCTGCCCCGCGCGGCAGGAAACCACCATTTCCCTGCGCAAATTCGGAGCTCCCGATGGTGTCTGTTTGTTGTGCCCTTCATGTCCTGCTCAGGGTGAAGGCGCTTCCCGTCCCTTCCCGGCAGCCACAGCTGACGCGTCCCGGCCTGGCGGGACACGGGTGCCACAACCCCAGACCCGGCAGGACAGGCTGGTGCCGGGGACCTGCGCGCAGTGTTGGTCTCAAGCCCCGCAGGGCCCTGCCACGCGTGGAGGGTGACACCGCAGCACAGTGATACCGCAGCACAGGGACACCGCAGCAGCGTCCTGCTGCATCCTCCCAGGGCGATGCTCAGGCAGGGGCAGGCAGCAAGGCCAGGGCACCGCTGCAGCCATGCACTGCTGCAGCAGGGTAGCCCCTGGCAGGAGACCCTGCAGCGAGGCCACGTTGCGCCCTGCAGCGCCGCAGCCACAGAGCCACCAGCACAGCCCTGTCCCGGCCCAGCCTGGCCAATGTCCTCTGTGCCCTCCCGGCCCAGGACCCTCCTCCAGGGCAGGTTCCCTCCTCTCCCCAGCACAGATGGAGCTGCAGGGGAGATGGATCCAGCAGGGCAGGGTCGCCCGGAGCCCCGTGCAGCTCAAGAACAAGGAATTAGCCTAGGCAGCAATTTCCTGGCCTTGTCACAGGGCATTAGCTGAGACAGAGCGCAGGGTGCAGGCACGAGCTCGGTCCTGCGCTGGGGCTGGGTGCCGGGGCCGAGCAGCTGAGGGTGCAGGGGGGTCCCTGCGTGGAGGGCACAGCACCCTTGGTGCCAGGGAATCACCGCACCCCTCCTTGGCACGTGGGCTGGGGCCCTGCAGCTCCCTCAGCCCTGCGGCCGCTTTGTCACCAGCAGGGAAAGGACAAAAGGCTTGTGCAGCAATGGCTGAGCCAAAGCCCCACGGCTCCCTGTGCAGGAGAGGGGCTGCTGCACCACGCGCCAGCTCCCTGGAGCCCGGGGAAGGGCAGCCCTGCTCCCGCCGCGGCACGGGAACCTCTGGGAGCTGCAGGAGCTGCCACCACGGAGCCCTGCACAGGGACCCCCCCGCAGCCGCTGGGTTTAATTGCTCCGGCTGCTAGGAAATTTCAAGGTGGAATTTGCCTCCATGCGGCGTCCAGCCGGGGATCGCGTTCTGCCTTTGTCAGCAACACGGGCCCCCAGCCGCCCCGCGCGCCCTGCACCTGCTCCCGCAGCCCGGCCCGCCCCAGCCGCCCTTCCTGTCACGTCGTGTCCCCCCAGCTCCCGCGAGGCCCCGGGCCAGGCAGGGGTCGCCCACCCCAGCGCCCCATTCCCCTCTCCCGTTCCTGCCTGTTGGACCGCGGCAGAGGCTGCGTGATCCTGGCCCGGCTGCCCCCGGGAGCAACGCTGTCCGCAGCCCATGGCCGCGATGCCAACGTGATGCCAGCCACGCCGGCTGCACCAGGCACCCGTGTGGGTTGCGTGCATCCTTGCAGCGGCACTTGCTCCTCTCTGCTCCCTTTAAGTCCTGGGGAAGCCCAGGCTGGATCCCTGCAGGCTCCGGTGCTGGGGGGGGGCCGCCTCCTCCTGGCCTCTGCACAGAGCACCCAGCTCCCCCTATCCCCACTGTGGGGCACCTGGGAGCTCTGCTCCCTCCTCCCTGTCCCCAGCCCCCCAAGCACCAGGGCTGGCACATGCAAAGCACGGGGACATCACTGGGTGCTACCAGCTCCCAGAGCACATGGCCTGAGTGCAGGTGGCTGTCACTGCCGTGCACGTGCTCATGTCTTTGTGTGTATGTGAGCAGCAGCATGAGCACTGAGGTGTGCACATGTTCCTGCGTGTCACTGTGTGTGTGCAGGAGGAGCCATGCACAAGGTGTGCACATGTCCCTGTGTGTCACTGCATGTCACTCTGTGTGGAGGGGGAGCCATGCACAAGGTGTGCACATGTCCCTGTGTGTCACTGCCTGTCACTGTGTGTGTGGAGGGGAGCCATGCACAAGGTGTGCACATGTCCGTGTTTGTCCTTGTAACCCTGTGTCTGTGTGGGTGAAGGTGTCCCTTGTCCGCCTGTACCTGCTTGCTCCATATGCATGTGCAGTAGGTGCTGGTGTCCCTCTGTCCGGCTGTCTGTCCTTGCCCCGGCTGGTATCCGTGCCCCGTGCAGTCAAGTGCAGGTGTCGTGGTGCCCTCCTGCTCCCGTGGCCCTGCACACACACGGGGCCGTTCCCACGCCCGCATGTCCCCAAGCACCCCCCCGAGCGCCCGGGCCATGCGGCGGGTGACCCTGGTGCGGGCGGCCCCGGCGCGGCGGCCCGGGCTGTTTGTCACGGGCTTTGCGGCTCTGAAACCCAAAACCGCCCGCAGCGCCGCCCCGGCGGCCTAATCACTGCCAGACGCGGCGGCCCCGCTTTTATGGGCCTTGGGACCGCTAATAAATTTCTAGGACGGCAAAAGCCCCTCCGGGTGGGGGCGGGAGGGGGGCGTGCGGCGGGGGCTCTGCGGGAGGCACCGGGCACCCGACGGCCGCGCTCGGCCGCTCCGGGGAGCGCTTATAAACGCCTTCCAGCGGAGCAGAGGTGGCGGCGGCGCGGGGGACACCGGGCCGGAGCGGTGGCCGCCGCTCCGCTCCGCCCCGCGCCGCCGCCCCCGGCCGGGACCCCCCCCCCTCTTCGCCGCCGCAAGCGGCCGGGACCCCCTCCCCGCCCCGCGGCGGCGGAGGCTCCTCCTCCGGTGCTCACTCGGCCTCCCCGGCCCCGTCG